TTGCCCAAGACACTTTCATTATTTTTCTTTAGGTTACATGTGATATCCATTTTACTGTTGAAAGTCCTCAAGTGATGTGGTTTCTGTTATTTGGTACAGTTCTTTGTTTGTGATTCTGTAGTGCCAATCTACAAGTTTCAAAGAAGGATGATCACCCTTACCCTTTTATTAATGAAAAGAGGAGGTGCTGCATTATAGATTTGTTTCCAGAAACTGGTTTCTGTATTTGCTTTTATTAATCTCCAAACACAAATGGTGAGGATTTATTTAATTTAAAAACTTGTTTGCTTTTTTTTTTCTGTAGTTTTTTTTTTTTTTTTTAATCGTTTGATTGTCAAATAGAAATTGCTCTAAAAGTGTTATTCCATCATAAGCTTCTAATCTTGTGCATAAAACGTGTTATCAGCAATGAATATTAAGGATGTTGGAGTGATGTTGCTTTCCTGAAAGTTGCAAGAGGAATATGGATTATCTTCCCTTGGCCACCTGGGGAACTTTTTTTTTTTTTTTTTACATGAGTTAGTAAAGCGTAGGCCAGTGGTTTTCAAATTTTTTGCTGGAGCGGAACCACAAGGAAACACTCCAGTGGCTCAAGGAACCCCTGCAGTAAAAATTACTGTCAATCATATTACTTGTGTAACTTCTGGCGGAACCCTGGTTGAAAACCACTGGTGTAGGCCTATTGAAAAGATGTCTGTATTAGTGTTAAAACAAATCCAGTCTAACTCATCAGGACTGTCTAATACATAATATTATGCAACTAAATTAGGATTCTAATATTAGCCACTTGGGACCAGGGATATTTTTTTGTGTAATATGTCAGTGAAATATCTTGTCAGTAGTTACAGGACAATCCTTGCTTACACACTTTGGGAAAATGAATTAAAATCAATAAATAAAATAATAAAGAATGAAAAAATAGATAAAATAAATACAGTTTCTCATGAAGGAACCACAAACGGTTTTGATTATTTGTGTAGTTTTATGACCAGACTTCTTTACAGTTTCCAATGCATTCAGACATGTTTTGCAGAATCTCTACCAATGAAGTAAGTACAATCTTTACTTAGGTTGCTCCAACTCGGTGCAAAGCTGACTTGAGCTTGACCATTATAACCATTCTTAGCAGCACTTACCCCAACTTACTTATGGACCAGAAAAAGAAGACAAATATACCCAAGAGACACTGAGAACTTTGTTTCCCTACAGTTTAAAATAAAATAAAATAAAGGATCCATAATTCTGGTTTGGTTTGGTTTACGGCATATTAACCTCAATAGGTTATTTATTACCAACAAAATTTTTATTGATGGAAATATTTTTTTTCAAAAAAAAAAAAAAAAAAATTGCTGGTAATATTTTTTTTTTTCAAAAAAGTATTGCTGGTAATAATTATTACAAAGTATTTCTGGTATTAAAATCTATTTTTACACTTTCATAGTGTTTTGACCCCAGTTTGGGGGTTAGCTACTTACCCATAGCTGGGAGACCCTAATGGGTGCTACCACCATGGGTCAAGGTGGACCTGGGAACACCAGCAATTAAGAAGTGGTTCCACACTCCTCAAAACCTCCTGATCAGAGGCCTTTCTTTTGGACATAGTTTATCGTCTTACCCAGGACATGGATGTAGTTTATCATCATACCCAGGATGAAAAGGATCCATAATAGAAAACTGAGAATTTACAACAAAAATATTACAACGCTTTTAGATCTTTAATTTACAAGAACAATTTTATAACATTCTGAAAACTATTTAAAATTAATGCAATGCAATGTTTATCAGCAATTTATAAAGAAATAAATATGAAAACAATTTTTTATTCATAAATTTATAAACATTTACTAAATTATCAAAATATGTAAACTATAAGAAAATCCTTATTATTTACTATTTTATAAAATCTGATTCAATTGGCAATTAGCCAATGTCTTGCCAATCATTCCAACAAGCAATAAATAATGTTTATTATTTTTGTTGACAATTCTCAAGAACAAAAGAAAATGTATAAATTCCTTTTCATCATATGTTTAGGTTTTATTACAATTTTAATAATCGCTTTTTAAAACAAACATTGCCGAGGAGTGAAGGTAGTTAAAATACTGGCAGTGTCAATGGAAAAATCATCCTTTTAACATTTCATTTTTTTGCAGACATGAAGATCCAAGTTTTCTCAAAAATGTTTATATTAATAGCAGTGTCAAGGGGAATAACCATTCTTTTAACACACTGTTTTTTGCCATATATTTTTATGTAAAAAAATAACATTATACACAAAAGGAAAAAAAGAAAAAAATTACATTTATATAGGCACAGATAGTTGCAAAAAGAAAACATTTATGTACTTAGTCTTTGGGTATGTATGCCTGTATGTGATGTCCACATTGTTTGCTTGAAATTAAGTAGTTGGTTTGCCAGGGGGAAAATCTCATCTGGCAGAGATAAGTCTCAATGTTGTCTGTTCCTTCTATAATCCTAAAAGGAACAACACACCTAATGGGCATTCTGACAGACAAGGTTGGGTAACAACCACAGGTATAAAAATGAGTATTAATAGATCAGGAACGGAATCCACCAGGTACTGTGTAAGCTACAGGAATTGATTGACATTTAATTTTTACAGTTTATCAACCATTTAGATATTTCTGAACAAGTTTGGTTTCTGTAAAAGTTTGTGCTTGCCAACGTCATTTACACCGTTATATATACAGCGTACATAAATGATGTTGGAAAACACATGCTTTTACAAGTTGGTATTTTATGCACAAATATGAAATAAATTAAAATATTTATTTTATTAAATACATTACCAGTTTTAAATGAAAAGATTTTCTCTATGAACTTTTCCTACCGGTAAATCAAAGTTATAACTCTTTCCTTTCCTATCAAAGTATACCTTATGACTTTTAACATGGGTATAAATCTGTTCTCACAACTCATTTAAGAACTGTTCCTTCTCAGGCAGTGGAAAATCTAACCGACAAAATTTTACAAGGGTTAACAGAAGGGATATTTTGTTTTTTTTTTTGTTGTGGTTTTTTTTTGTTTTGTTTTTTTTTAATGAAACCCTCTATTTTCAGATATTCAATCTGTCATCATAATGTTTTATTTACCTGCCCCCCCCCACTTAAAAACATTCACACTGACTTTTGCTAATGTCCCAGTTAAGAAAAGGCAAAGTTATTAAGTCCTTGCATTGAAATGAGACTAAAATACTAAATGCAAGAAAATAAATGTCAGGTGGACACTTTCACTTCACAAGGTGCCAAAAAAAAATTAATTTATATATTCTGTTCAGCAGAAAATAGAGTAACTGAAATTGGATTACATTCAAACAATTCTACTTTGTATTTAAATTTACATATTAATGCTTATCTGTTCCTTGCTTTAATGGCTCTCACTTCCCCTTTTTTCTGATTTATTTTTAAATGCTATTGACATGTTCCAAAAAATATATTTTTCCTTTTAATTTCTATTTTTAACTGGGGTTTGTGTAAAAAAACAAAAAAAAAAATTGCAAAATATACATTCTTCTGTTGTCACTTTTTTTTCATGTCAGCATTCCTATTTAAGGCATTAATTAAAATACAGAACAATTTTTGCTTTACTTTCTTTTTGGAAATGAATTATCTTCTAATGAGAGGCTTTGTGAAATGGTTTGTCTTTGTGAAATGGTTTGTCTTTGTGAAATGGTTTGTCTTTGTGAAATGGTGTTAATCAGTAGTGATTCAAATAGAAGTAAATACTTCTGAAATTTCTAGGGTGAGGAATTATATATAATTTAAATTTTTTTTTTTTTAATCTTCACCTGCTACAAGACCCAAGAGCCACTCAGGGCAGAGTGTTACTGAATGATGTTATTGTATAGACATATGTTAATAAAAACTGACCCTTAATTTGAAGAGATTAATATTGTAGTTTTCAGTGAAACATCCATGCAGGAGTTTATTTCACAGTGTAGCAATTCTTGAAAGAAAAAAAAAGCTGTCCGAGTAAAACTTCCTCCTTACAAATGGAATATGAAGGGAACAATGATCACTGTGAATATGACATAGTAGGTCTCCACTCTAAAGGTTAGAACTGGTGAAACTAAAGAATACAGCTCATCTGAAGACTTGAAATGGAAATAATGCCAGAGTAGCAATAGGCTTATGACTTTGCATCTGTGTGGAAAGAGGCTGTAGGGTGGAAAATGTCATCCCAAGAAGACAACATAACCGATTTTGAACTCCATTAAGCCTGGAAAGTGAAGAATATGCAACTCCAGCCTAAATATGGTAACAAAACTCAATTTTTGGTTTGTAAAGATAAAGCATAGAAGAGGTCTGGTATTTCAGGGAGTGGTACAAGGACCTGACCATTTTTCCAGCATCTTTAGAGATGAACTATAGATATGAATTCCACTTGAGGTCTGGAGTGAACTCTTGTCCCAACAGAAGTTCAAATCTGAAGAGCGCATTGAGAATGCAATGGCTCATCATTACAATCTACCCAATTTCACTCACAAAGCTTGACTCAACCCATGGTATGGTTTTCAGACACTTTCCAGGGGTGCTCCCCACTAGGATCGTCTCCCCAGGCTGACAACATCAAGAAGTCACCCTTCTGACAAATTGACCATAGTAAGATCCAAACCCAGGTCTTATGGTCAGAAAGTGAATGTCCTAACAATTTGGCTACATGCCCATCCTACATAGGCACCTAACCTATAACTTTTGGCACATCGGTGTATTTTCATAATACACAAATAACTAACATCCAAAGAAGGAGTTAAACATTAACTTTTACAAGATGCATTAAAGTAGTAAACTCTAAACAAATCCTCACAGTTTATTTTCCTTGGAGAATTTTTAAAAAAATTATTCACGGTTAGCTCCCTTGGATCCTTATCATTTATTTGCTTGATTTACTTTTTACTGTGAGATAATTTAAAGAGAAGATTTCAAAAGAGTGAATTAAATGTAAAATTCTTTAACGTGTTGTTATCCTTCAATACATACCATATTTGTATTTTAGCAACTTTCCTGTCAAGGTTGATGGTCCGTAACTTGAAATCGATGCCTGTAATTAAACAAAAACAATCAATCAATGGAAAATATCATCAAAAAGTTAATTATCAATTATATATTTATGTAAAAGCAGAAACCAGTGATAGAACTTTTGGCACTAGAATATTGTTTATTAATTTAATATGGTTTTGTGAAACCTTGCTAAGCAATCAATGCATCCACAGAAGATCTGAAAAGAATTTTTTTTGCATCACAAAACTGCAAACCTGTAAAGTAATCAAAATTTTTTTTTTTTAATTTCCAAAATTGAAAAAAGGCATTGAATGGTCAGCATATTAAATCCAGTATCAAAATTGTAGTTGCCAGGTACAAATGGATCAAATGCAAACCTTAGAAACTTTCAAACAAACTTTGACTGAACAAAAATAAAAAAATATGTTTGAAAAAAGTGTTTAAAGAAAGAAGTGACTGTGTTAAAAAAATATATATATTTTTGAAGAGAAATAAATTTCATTCATTTTGATACCAGTACCATTGTTCTATCTTATCTAAAACTTGTTTTATAGGAATAGAGACTTTTCATATCAATCAACCTTCATAATCTTCAAGAGAAATAAATTTATTTCATATAAATGCCACTGTTTGGTTATTCTATTTAATCAAGAATCACATAAATATTCCAAAAGCACCACTAATAAAAATTAAAAATAAGTAAATTTCAAATGAAAACAAAAACTTGTGTTGTAGTTTTTAGTCTATTAGAAATAGACTAAAATTTTGCTTTTCCCTTTCAGTTTTAATAAACTTCAGACAAAATTTCTGTCATTTTCCTGAAAGTAAATTCTATTGCAACATTACATCTTAAACAAACAGTTACATTTGCATCAAATAATCATAATGATTTAAATATTCTCAAATTTGAATAAAAAATTATATTAATTCAAAAAACAAAAAATCATGTTCATTGACCACATAAAAAAATGATGATGTTCACTATGATTGTTGTAACCCAGGGAAGGTTACTGAATAGAATAATCACACAAAGGTTAGTAATGAACAATAATACTTAGGACAAGAACAACACGTATAAGATTCGCCAGTGGCACATAGAAAATGTAGTCAACTGCTAGAAGTGAGTCAAGTGAATTCCACAATGAATCTCCAACTGCAGACCAACATACAGTATTTACTACTGTATTTATGTGAATGGGGACATACACATTATCATCCATAAGTATGCTACAACAATGATACACTTTGACAACAAAAAAAAAAAAACTATGATGATGTTTATTATGATATAACTTGGCAACACAAAAAAAGATGATGTACATTAAGATACACTTGTAGGCTACAAAAACATCTGAAAATAATTGTCACCTGATCTGTATAAACAGACATCAGGTAATGCGATTATCTTAGCAAGAAATTACAGTTCATACTTATATAACAGAAAGACAAAATCAAATCTGACCCAGTATCACTACAGGATGATAAAGGAGCATTTTTAATTAATAATGACAGTGTAGTCTTTGCTATTTAAAGCATTAGCCTATGAACAGGCATCTAGATATTGAGCAAGTTTTTAGCAATTACAATCACATTACATTGAAACACTGTTTCTTGCCCAATCACCATAGTTAAGCAACATTGAAACTGGTCAGTACTTGCATGGCTGACTGATTGCTTGTGGGCTATGTAATTGATAATGGCTCAGAATGAGAAATCAAAAAGCTGAGTTTGAATTCCAGTTGGGTTCATTATATTTGCTTACATGCAAATAGCCTCGGCAAAGGTGTTACGAGATACATAGACATTCTATAGTAAATATTTATGAACTCCTGGAACATTTATCCCATAAACAATATTGACAGACTCAATGTGAGTCTAGGTAAAAATAAAAAAAACACAAAACAATGAATATAAGATAAACAACAATGCATGTTATTAAAAGGAATTACATGTGTACACAATTGTAACGAAAGGAAAAAAAACATTAAAACAACTTATGTATGTATGTGTGTGTGTGTGTGTGTGTGTGTGTTTGAGAGAGTTTAAAAGTCAACAGAGGACCAACAAAATAAATGTGTCCTTTTGACAGAATTCTTTAACTACATCAACAATATCTGGAAGCAAGAGCTAAAAAGAGAAAGCAAACAAATATGATTGCCTTTTTATAGGCTGAAAGAGTGCCCCCCCCACACACACACACCAGGTGTTTTGGCAAAGCCACGTGGGATAATGCACAAAGGTACAAATCCATCTCTCTTCTCCCCAAATCATGGGTTAAATAGAGCAGACTGAGCTCTTCAGCCTTGGTTGGCAATCAGTCTAGGAGAAGCACAACTCAATTCCTGAACCATATGTAGCCCTGGCAATGACTATAATCCTGAATGCGGTCAAATAATTAAATTAAACTTTTTCTCTGATTTTATTTGGGCCTTTTTTGTTTTTTGAGAAATTTTATATCACGTAAAATCACTATTTACATTATTCGGACTATTGTCCTCATCTTTGTCACCATGTTTATCTCAACATTTTGGCTGTTGTACACTTCAGCCTTCTTCAGGTGGTTGGAATGTCAAACTGAACCCTTTATTTCGCTCACTGTGGTAGACTGTTCTAGTTCCACATGCCATGTCTAATGGATGTCAGTTATAACTCATATCCATTAGACATGGCCAAGTAAAATCAAATCTGAAACAGCTTCAAAATGTCTCCAATTTGTTCTCACAGTAAAAATGGTAGTGTTTTTTTGGGTCACAAATTATAAAGAAAAGAAAAACCCAAGTCACATGCAAAAACACAGAAAGCAGACATAATATTGTAAAGGGATAATTACTTGTTAAAACATTATACAAACCTGTCTTCTTATCACAATAAAAAAAGTAGCATGTCTATATATATATATATATATATATATATAAATCATATATTTGAGCAGTAGTTCCTTTCTAATAAAAGTTCCATTGAAAAAAATTACTGACACGGTACTTCTGTGGAGTTTTTTTTTTATTGTTTTTCTTCTGTATAAACAAGTTTTCTTCTTTTTGACAGTGTATAAACAAATTGTTCAAATGAAAAGTCTAACAATAATAAAGACCTTAATCATAAAAAAAAAGTCTTAACAACAAACATGGTTACAATGTATTTGCCATTTTCAAGAATTAAAAACATGTCTACCTCCCAGCAACTTACCATTTGCAATTCTTCTATATGTTATGTCTCTTCAGCAACCATGTCCTTTTTAGCATATAATAAATTTTGTCTTTTTGTTATCTCTCCTAAACGTTGTTCTGCCATCCATTTACTAAAGTTTGCTAGGTTGGTTATGCATCATTTTCCCCTGTCCCTCTTGCCTTCAATTTGCCCTGTGAGTATCAAATTTTCCAAGCCCTCTTTCCTCATTATGCACCCTAGAAATTTCAACTATCTTTCTGATAAGTATAAATGTCCTTTTTGTTTCTATTTTCTCTAAAACTTTGTCATTACTCACTTGTTTGGTCCATGGCATCCTCAGTATCCTTCTGAAGAACCACATTTCCATTGCTTCAAGCCTCCTCTTTGACGAAATTGTCCAGCATTCACTGCCATATAGGAGGATTGATATCGCATTATAGTTCAGTAATCTTTTCTTTGTTTCTGTTGCTTCATGTCTGCTTCATTTGGGAGATTTTCTAGCATTCACTGCCAATATCGGAGGACTGATATTACATAACCAAAACAAAGAAAAGTACTGAAAATAACAAAATTTTTCTTAGAACTTTGCTTAGCTTTTGGAAAGCATCTTTCATTATTCCAATGCACCTTGTGATTTCAGTGCCACACTTTCCAAACTCTGTTAAAACACTTCCCAGATATTTAAATTTTTATACCTGTTTGATTTTGGTATCTCCAATTTGTAATTTGCATGTTGGGCTGTTCCTTTTGCTGACAACCATGCATTCTATCTTCTTGCAATGGTGTTTAGTCCTTTCTTCTGGCTTTCCCTTACTACCTTCAGTAGGAGATCTTGTAGCTTCCTTTCTATGTCTTCTATCAACACTCATCTGCATAACTTATGTTAAAATTATGGCTGCCAATAATGAATCCTGGCAGAATTTCTAATTCCCTCAGAATCGCCTCACTGCATAGGTTGAATAAGTCCTGTGTGCAACCCAATTCTTTGCATTATAGAAAGAGAACAAAAGAGAAAAAGCTCCGAGGTTTCATCTAAAACACCAGGTTCGTTAAGAGCAAGCAATGATACTGAGCAATGTGTGGGCAAAACCCTTTCCTTTACTCCACAACCATTTCTTTGCTCAAAAGATTGGAATATGCTAAAATTTTATTAGCAAAATTAGTGTAATTAAAATTATCCAACAGATATAATATTTTAGATATGAAATAAACTATTAAGACTACAATCCTCCCAACTATTTTGTGTGGGTGGGCCATCTTGCAGAGGGAGGTGAACAGTAGGCCCTGCAACACTCAAGACAGCCAACATGGCCAGGGATGCAGTTGCCAAGGACTGCTCCAGGTCCTGCCTGGAGAAAGTGGTGGCCACTGATGTTGGCCACACTGGGTGATTTTTCTACCTTATATATGTGCCTGTGTATAAAGTTTCATTGGGATATATTAATTTGTTATATAAAAAAAAAAAATGCTGTTTTTATTATCCATTAATTTTTTCGGGATTTATCTGACCCACACTGTATGTATAATGGAGATAAAAATTTATGGTAATAAAAATGATATATAAATTTTCATTTACCAGATCAATTTTAGGAAAATTAATGACAAAGTGGAAAAATTAAATTGGCTAAACCAGGGTTTCTCAATCTGCGGGTCCTGACATTTCAGTGGGTTACAAGATAAATAAAATGTGTTGTGAAAAAAAAAAAAAAAAAAAAAAATATGCAACTGAGAGAAAGTGCAGAATAGGATCAACACTAGATGTTGCATAGCACTCATAAATCATCACTGGTTTTTCACTGAGGTAAGCTCATATTATATTTTATTTTTTAAGCATAATTTATATATACACACACAAAAAAAAACAAACAGAAC